AGGCAGGCAGGCAGGCAGGCAGGCAGGCAGGGCAGGCAGGCACAACAAAAAAGAGCAACACTAGCCAATCCAAAAATGAAAAACAGGCATTCTGAGTCAATGGAACCCATGAAAAAGATATGGAAGGTAATGTTATTTATATAAGATGAAGTTACAATACTGTAACAAGGAAATAGGATGCCTTAGCTTCTCTATCAAGGCAATTTCACTGCAATGTTTTTTTTGATTAGTATCTTATAATTGCATTAAAGGAAGGGCAATAGCACAGGTGGTTTTAGCTACCTTCCAACCTGCCTGTTGCTCACCTGGCCTGCCTCAGTTATACAACTGTTTGTGCAACCAGTTACATGACTGGTCATGCAAAAGACAGTAGGAAAACCACTAAGGCAGCCTGAATCTTTGTGCTTTTTTGCGAGTGGCCAAAGAGAACACGATTTCGCCCCCCCATCCAGATCAGTTCATACTGCAAACAGTGTAACGGATTTATTTTGTATTTTAGCCTCTGAGGCATGATAAATGCCTTATAGGGATGTTTCTTCTGGTTAAGATGTTTCAGGGTGATTTATTACAGGCATTTAACTTGTTTTGACGGACTAGTGTACGGGCTGAAAAAAATTTTGCTGAATTTTTCATGCCTCCTATCTACATTCTTTACAAGATGCTGAGTTCCATGGAAGATATACGAGGGGCCTGAGGGTGTTTTCAGATGCTATCCAAGCGAAGCAGCCTTTCATATTCAAGAATATTTTGTGCTCAGGATGGGTTCTGTAAGTATTGAAATGAAAGGTAATCCGGAAATCTTTTCCATTCGATAACCTGTTTATAACTACATTTCTTAAGACAAATTTTTACATCTATCCTCTTACTTTACAAATTCAGCCATTACGCTCATGTTGTCTTATCAGCACCTTTGAAGTCTGGCACCCCCTTTTATCTTTTTCACAGATTTAATTGACGACATTGTGTGTGTGTGTGTGTGTAGGTTTACAAATAAGAAAGGAAAAAAGGAATGGAAGCATGAAATAAAGACTAAAGTGTCAACCTACCTGTCTTGGCACAGAATGAGCGCTGTCAAAGTTGAGACAACGACACCTGTGCAACATGTGAGTGTCATCCAGGGGCTCTGGACCAAGAACCCCACAATCATGATCAAACCACTGAGGGGATTGTTGACAAACATCACTTGGGACACACCACGCAGGACCCAGTCAGGCAACTGAAGGAACAGAGGCTTATCTGAAAAACATCCCCAAGGAAATAAAGATATACAAACTGAGAAGAGATATATACACACAGGTAACTTCACAAGATCACAACCTGGAATATGAGGCAACCATGTGATGCATCTGCAAACAAGGCAAAGGTGATTATAGGATGCATTAACAGATGTATAGTCTCCGAATCCCATGAAGGGCTAGTCTGCCTCTATTCAGCACTGGTTAGGCCTTATTGAGAGTACTGTCTCCAGTTCTGGACGTCACACTTTAAGAAAGATACTAACAAACTGGAGCAACTTCAGAGGAGGGCGACAAGGATGATCAGGGGACTGGAAACCAAGCCCTAGGAGGGAAGACTGAAAGAACTGGGCATGTTTAGCCTTGAGAAAAGGAGAGTGAGGGGAGATAATATGATAGCACTTTTCAAATACTTGAAAGGTGGTCCTATAGAGGAGGGGCAGGATCTGCGCTTGGTCAGCCCAGAGTCCAGGACATGTAATAATAAGCTGAAGCTACAGGAAGCCAGATTTAGGTTGACTATCAGGAAAAATCCTTAGCTATACAATAATGGAAACAATGACCTCAGGAGTTGGTGAGCGCTTCCATGTGTTCAAGAGGAAATTAGACAACCCTCAGTCAGACCTGCTTTGATTTGGATTCCTGCCTTGAGCAGGGGTTGGACTTGATGGCCTTCTGGGCCCCTTCCAACTTCACTCTTCTATGATTCTGTGTTTCTGTGATTCCCCCGTACATGACCTGAAGGAACACAAGAGAGCTACTTGAAGCCAAGGGTGCAATCAGATAGAAGTTTGTTTTACGCTGGGGGTGGGCTGGTTCACTCCTTTATCCAGCGACTCCATGACACACGTGCTATCATGAACAAGCCCACCTCTGATTGATGTCTATCTGTTGCTCCTTTTTGCTTTGGTTCCAGCATGTGCGATCGCTGGGATCGAAACAAAGTGGCCGGCTGGCTGTCCCTTTGCTGAAGCCCTTCAATGATCTCGAGAAACGAAAAGCTTCTCCCCTGCTCGCTTGCAGAGGAGAAGGGAGAAAAAGCTTTCCCCCTTCAGTTTTTAGTTGTTGTTAATGCATCAGCAACAGCTTTGAATGGGTTGCTTTGAAAGCAACATAACATTGCTGTGGTGCCCCATGGGAGAGTAACAATTAAAAAGAAGCTTTTTCTCTCTTTCCAAGCCACAGAAGGGTCCTGGAAGGTTGCAATTTCACCCCTGCTGTCCCTGTGGGGGGTGGGGGTGGGGGTGAGCCTCTTAAGGGTCCTGGAAGGCACTCTCGGACCCTTTGGAGTCCCCCACCATCTCTCCACTGGGCCCTGGGGAGCGCTGTTTTACAATATTCGCTCCATAAGACACAGGCACTTCCCCCCACTTTTTTTGGGAGGGAAGTGCATCTTATAGAGCAAAAAATACGGTAAATATCTGGCATGCAACATTTAGCCCTGGTTATATATAAACATTATACTTCTTTGAAAATATTCAGTGTCTCTCTGTGTGTGAATTTGGAATGGGTGCAGGAATGGCAGGGTGTGTGGGGTGGGAGAGACTTTAAACCACCTTCTTGCCACACATGGGTTGCTCAATCCAGAGTCAACCCCTACAGGCTTCATTGAAGTTTTTAAAAAAGGAAGTAGCATTCAGCGGTGTGCTGCGCTTTTAACAGAGCATGTAGTTTCACCCTTTGACAGTTCCAGAACGGTTTTGCTTCTCTTGTTTGAAAGTTTATGGACTGGGACGACTGCCAACGTGTGTATCTCTGGCAACATCTGGCATGGCTCTCAGTCCTGATAGGGTTGTAAAATATGACACACGTTTATTATAGTTTGTGAAAACATTGTGCAGTTGGGAAGTTGATTGAGCGACACCACAAGGGCTGGTGGAGTTCACGCCGAAGATAAAAACGTGGCTTATTTATGTTGCTTACTTCTAAGATGGCAGATGGCCTGAGCATCTCCCGGCCAGCTTGTGCAAGGATTTCGACACGCCCCTCCATGTGTATCATTCAGGAGAGATAAATATAGGCAAGATAAATGACAAGGCTTAGAATTGGAACCAGGAGGACAGAAGGAAGAAGCCTGGAAATAAATATCTTTTGAGGTGTTTAGAGGTTAAAGCAAAGGCCAGCTCATAACTTAATTGCAATCGTAGCAAAGGCAGATGGGTCGCTTTGGAGGCAAAAAGCAAGACCCAGAGCACAGAGTTTTCTCCTCCAAGTCCCTGTCACCTCTGAAAAGCTGCTGCATATGGCCTAACGGTAGGGCTGGTCCTGGTTGCAAAAATGCAGGGAAGCTTACGGGACACTGAGGAAGCTACTGCACAACACCCAGAGATCTTTAATATATCCCAGTCTCCATTCTGCCCATTAACTAAAACCCTCTATAAGACAGCCGTTCTTGACCAGTAGGATATACATCGTTTGCGGGAGACAGAAATTCTCCAACGGGGGTAGAGAATTTTCATAACAATGACTAAGAACACCTTCTCCATTGACTCCCATGTCCCTCTGCAAGAGAGCATCTGGATTTACCTGCTCTATATTAGCCTTCTGGGACAATTTGGCATTCTAGTGGTAACTTTACATTGTGGTTCTGTGCCATCAAGTCACTTCTGGCTAGAGATGGGCATGAGCTGTGTTTCAGCGGCTTGGCCTGGTTTGGCATGGCACCTGTTCCATTGGTGCTGCACACTTCTCTCACCTGCCTCCTCGGGTGATCATCCAGTCACCGGCAGCAGCATGGGCTTCCTTGCCCTGCCTCCTTGTCTGAGAGGGCAATTGCCTGAGGAGGCACAGCACGGAAGCCTGTGCTGCTGCCGGTGAGTGGGTGATTGCCTGAGGAGGCAGAGGAAGGCAGTGTGCTCCTGCTGGTGAGTGGGCAATCACCCAGAGGAGGTGGGGGAGGGAAGCGCATGGCACCCACTGAACACCTGTGAGGGTGCTGCTCTGAACCGGGCTGAATTTCCCAAGCACGGTTTGTCTCCATCTCTACTTTTGACTCAAGACAACCCTACTAGGGCTTTCAAGGTATAACAGATGTTTAAGGCGTGGTTTGCCATTAGCACCCTTCGACGAGTTTCCATGGCACAGCAGGAATTTGAACCCAGATCTATTACGCTCTAGTCGGACACTCTGTTCACCACACCACATTGGCTCGTGGCCACATGGAACTGCTAGTGTTCCCATGATCCTTTGCAGCTTTTGCCCACCCACTTTGGATGATAAAACTGCAGATGTCCTTCATAGGGGAAAGGGAGATTTTGTATAATGGTGAGACTTGGGATACGAAAGTAGTGTGTGTATTTATGCAGTTGTTCTTTTATTCTCATGCTAGCTCTGACAGCTTCACTTAAACAAATTAGGGTTACGTAAAGTAGCTTCAGCTCCAGACACATTCAACAGTATTTACGCTCCATATTTACTCTCTGATCCAGAACCAACCTTACCCTCCTGCTCCCTAAGATGGGAAGAGAAGCCATCCTATCACTGCCACTCCCCACCGCCACTGTGCCACATGCAGAAGAAGTAGCTCTTTCTCGTAGCTACTGCCTCATGGTCTGGCAATATCTATAATGCCTCTTCCATAGGGTTCCTCATGCCAAGAGTTAAGCACAGAGCATGCTGAGAAGCAGCTGTGCTGTACAGATGGGAGGTAGCAGTGATGGGGGTTAGAGGAAGAGGCCAGTGGTAGCAAAGTTTGGTTCAGGCTATGAGGCGCGGCAGGCTGTGGTAGTTGTATCACTCCCAGGGTTCCACCACTTGAAATGACTAACGGCTAGCATGGCCCTGGGTAGTTATTGGGAAAAGGTTTGGACATATGATTCTTCCACTTTATTGTCAAGATAGAGTTGTCCTTGCATGAAGATTTAGCTTTCCCCCAAGTATGCAAAACAGAGACAACTCTGCCGAATGCCAGAAAATTGGGACTGATCCAAGGTCAACTCAACAGCCTTCAAGATGACCACCACAACTCCAAGCTCAACGCAATGGTGCCTTGTGCATACAATTACCTTCCAGCCAGTCTCTGAATGCCTTCATATCACCTGTGACATAGCTCAAACTTCCGCAGATTCGTCTCCAACATTGTCCTGTCCGAGTTTCTGTTTTCTCGGACTTTTCTTTGGGGGTTTCAATTTCCATGGTGACGTTGGGGCCCTGATGGAACAAGAGCAAAAAAGCATCAGATTTCACAATGTATTCAGGAATTACTTGCAAGATGAAGTGGGCTTCATCATTCCTCAGAGAGGGTAAAGCTACAATTATTGGACATATTTGTTGCACGTGTTTATGGTGATTTGAGTGCATGGCCATTAAAAAAAAATATTTATTGCAGCTTTGGTGGTTAGACTGCCCAAGATTCCATTCTCCGGCTGATACCCACCATACCTAAAAGATGAAATACAATCATACCATAGCTTTGGATAGCATGTAGTAAAACCTAGGAAGGAAATCAGCAGCAGAGAATCAAAATGCCCTACAGTGCGGCAAGCCAAAAGGAAATCAGCAGCAAGACAGAAGAGTGTCAACCATCAAAATTAGTTCTTAAAAGACCTGGGGGGACAGAAAAATTTTCACCTGGCAATGAAAAAAAAAGTAAGGTGGGAGTCAGAGAAACCTTTCCGTGGAAGGTATTCTACAGAGAAGTTGCCCGTCCTGGACAATCCTTCTGTCTTGGACTCATCAACAATGCCAGCTTTGGCTGGGGCACCTGAAGGAGACCTATTAGTCATGATGGCTATGTCTTGCCCCTAGTATCTGAGCAGAGCTTGGAAACAGCACGTTAGATTTAAGGGCTAACACTGAAATTGTGTTACTCTTGTGTTAAACAGGAAGAATGCATTTAATGTTTTAAAAACTTTTCTTTCAAACTTTTTTGCTTTTCCTCTGTGGATTCCAGGCTTGGGTTCCCAGATGTTCTTGGACTACAATGCCCAGAAATCCTGGCTAGCACTGCTAGTGGTGAAGGCTTCTGGGAGATTTAGTCCAAGAACATGTAGGGACCCAAGATTGGGGAACCAATGCTTTAGATGAATCCGTTGGGTTGGGCTTCTTGGAACACAACAAGACTGATTTTTATGTTACTGTGATCAATCTAACAAGGAGGCCAAAATCCAGTTGGTAGGGGAGGCAAACAGCGTAACCAAAAGCAGCTTTTTGCTGCTGGTCATGCAATTTTTGGGTGGCTGCCGGGCTGGTTGGTTGGCACACACCCAAAAATCGAAGCGTAGACTCATTTAATTGTCAAGGAGAAGCCACTGCAAGTTACATCACCATGCAACAGGATTTGGGCCATCATTTCTATGCTCTGGAACGGGGGCACTAGGCATCTCGATATCCAGTTACTGGAGAACATGAGCAAGGCTACGCTAAAGTGCTTGTGCCACAGATGTGAGCTCCTAAAAGTGGGGTATTTTCTTGGTTAGTTTATCCTTTTCGGTGTTCAGCCAGCCAAAATATAGATGGGCATAGTCACACTGGATTGTATTTTTATGCAAGTAGGTGCACCATCGGAACACTGTGATGGCAGCAATTGATGTCACAGTCTGTTTGGGATTGCACACACGTACATTCCCAGAAAGCAGCAACCTCTTGAACAAGCTTCTGCAGGCTGAAGAACCATTTACACAAACACCTTCCATGGTGGCCGAGAAGGTGTAAAGCTGGCAGGAAAAGGAACTCCAGCTAGGCTCATGGTCTGATCATGCTGCTTCTTATGTTCTTTCCATGTTTTGGTTAGAAGTAATTCAGGGGTGCAAAGGCTTCGCATGTACTTAGCAGTGCTGCTGTGCCATAGCGTGAAAACCCGAAGGGTTCCAGGAATTGTGAGACACACCCAGCAGCCTTCCACCAACCTGACTTTTGAATCTCAACCATAGATGGAGGCCACGTTCAAAGTACGCCTACCTGGGCTTCCAGCAGTGGCAAGCTTTGAGAGGGGTCTTGGGCACCTGCTGGCCAGCGCTGGCAATTAAATTCAGAATCATAAGGCTTGGGTCCATCTGCTGAGGTGTCTGGTTGGGCTGGGATGGTGGAAGGCCCAGGCATATCGGCGAGAGAGCATCCATCCATCTCCCCTAGCGTTGCAGGTGTGACAAATGTCAGGAAGAAGGAAGTCAATAGGAGAAGTCATTGTGTCCTGGCAAGATTTTTATTATTATTTTATAGAACTCGGTCAGATGTCAATGAGCTATACAGTTTATGGCAAGGGTGGGCACCTGAATGTGTAGTAGATTAACATAGAGTTTTGACTCCCAAGTTCAACCACAGGCTAAAAGCTCGAGAAGATTTTTCATCCCACTGCCGTTGGAGCTACCAACCTCCACTGAATATTGAGGGCACGGTTCTGGCATGTCCAGTAATAAAGATCATGGCCTGAACATGTCCTTGATGTTGGAAACAGGGAGGAAAGCATGTAGTGAGAGATCAAAACTGGTGGTGGTGAAATATACAAATAGTGTGTTTTCCCCCTTTTATCTTTTTTTTAAAATTACAGTTGGATTGATACTTTTAGGCTAACTTACTTCTCATTATTCTTAAGTCACTTTCTTCTTCTGCCCAGCTAGAAAGGGCCAGGGTCACATAGCTTCTCTAGAATGTCTGAACTGACCACAGCTAGAAGCTAGTTTTAGGGACCTCTGTAACCACATTTAGGGCTCTTACTGGGTCTTTAAATGGTTTTCCTAAAGCAATATACTGTATATTTAAATTTTTTAGTGTTACCAAACTCTGAGTCTCTGGAGTAGTTCCTTCTATCTTCATAACTATAATAGACTTAGCACTAGCCCACTGCTTTCTGCTAGCATGTTGTTATTGTTATGTATGGTGATTTATACCTAGAGAATTTGTTGAAAAACAGCCCTGACATGGCTTAGGGTTTGGTTGAGGAGTGATTAGCTGATGAAAAAAAAGGAGCCAGATTCTGAGATTTTCTCCCTGCTTGGTGTCTCTTGGTGAATGGGAGTGGGCACAAGAGGGGATCCTGTAGACCATCTTGACTGCTGCCATGGGTGTTGTCAACATTCAGGTTGCCCTTTGCTATGTAAACCTTGGCATCCTTTTTCCTGTTGTCAACATGGGTGTAATACTGTGCAGCAATATCTGGCCATTTCCTGGTGTTTTAGATTGTGGATACAAAAACACGATATCCCACATTCATAAAATGGAGGGTTTTTTGAAGAATTGAATTGCCTGGTTTGTTTTTCCAAGGGGGGCAGTTTAAATATACATACATTACATACATATTCCAACAGCAACTTCCCTCATACAGAACTACCCAGTGCTAGAGGATGTCAGAAGATGAGCACATGATTGGTGCTATGGGGGAGGTCAGAAGCTAGAACAGCTCAGATTTTAGCTGCAGTCCCTCTATGCCAAAATATTTTGGAGAGCTCTTTTGGACTTAATAATAGTGAAGCAAAACTGTGAGTGAGTTCAACACATACAACAGAGCCAATACAAACCCTTTAACCTCTAAACTAAATGCTGTTATGCCCACTCTGCAGAATGCAGACTAGAAAGCTATCTTCCAGTTTCCAAACCCTCGGTTTACAAACATGTTGTGTGCATGTTTCCCAAAAGTTGTCTCCTCATCTTTTGAAATAATAATAAAAAAGGGGGATGGGGAATTAGCAAAGGTTGTCACTGGAAACCATGGTCAAAATCGTCCATAGTATGTGAAAGAAAGAGAGTGAAAAAAGAAAGGGACAAAAATCATCTGAAATGTGGTGTTGGAGTCGGGTCTTACAGATACGACAGACCACCAGAAAAGGCAAATAAGTGGATGCTCAATCAAGTCAAAGCTTAACTCTCACTATAGCAAAAAAATGGGTCAGCTGGGGCTATTCTACCACGCAGAACTGACCAGAAGACAGAACTGACCAGAAAAGGCAATATTGCTGGAGGAAAATGCTGTGTGTGTGTGGGGGGGGCAATAGGAAACAGAGGAAGACCTAACATGAGACAGGTTGACTCAATAAAGGAAGCCACAGATGCTAGATTGCAAGACCTGAGTAAAACTTACTGGAAAAGACAACATTGCTACAATGAGGGCGAAGGAAGAGAGAACAACCTAATATGAGATGTTGTTGGTTTGCAAGATCTGAGCAGAATTGTTAATGATAGGACATTTTGGACTCCATTAACTCATATTGTCACCACATATCAGCAGTAACTTGATGGCATGTAATGACTTCAGGGGGCATTTTTAAATTTCCAAGCAATTGAATAGTGGAACAGAGACTCTAACAGGAGATTATGACAGGGTAGCAAAAAAACAAAAACAAAAACAAAAAAAAACTGATTTCACAGCTTAAATGTGTGAGTTTGTTCTATATTTTAATGTATTTAAAAATATTTTTATATCTGTGTTTTTAAAAAATTAATATTCTTTTTCTATCTTCACTTTTGCAACCACATACAGAATTCATTTGCAAGCATGACTCCCATAAGCTTGTCTGGTTGGGAATGAGTTAAAATGTTAGCTAAAGATCAACTAACTGGTCTGGATTGACAGAGTCAAAAGGCCAGATGGCTCCAGAAGTGAAGCTGATTTCCCCTTTGAAAACTTATGTGAGGAGACTTTATAGTCTCAGAAATCCTAAGAAAGTGGTAAAACAAACACAAGAACTGTTTTTCTAAGGTAAGGGAAAGGCTTTGAACATCCCTTACAAAATTGTATGCTAATTCCCTGAAGACACACGGCAAAATGTCCTCCTTTCTGAAGCACTGTCACTCTTATTACATTTTTAAAGGGAACCTTTTCTCTCTCTCTTTAAAGAAAACCTATCTTTTCAGTCTGTTTCTATGACCTTTCTCTCCAAATATGTTCCTCCCTCCCACCTATGAATGTATATGATGTTTCATTTTCTGAAGCTCCTGCTGGCAAGCCTGAACGACACATGCTCAGTCTTAAAACAAAGTGGTTGTGCTTCCCCTTTGAAAGGCTTTTTTTTGAGGGTTTATATTTCAGCCCCTGCAGCCTGGATTCTTTCCAAATTAAATACGGGTGAATGGGTCCAATCATTGTCTTTCAAGATAAGCAAGATTGTTTCACAGCTTAAATGTGTGAGTTTGTTCTATATTTTAATGTATTTAAAAATATTTTTATATCTGTGTTTTTAAAAAATTAATATTCTTTTTCTACCATGATTTCACAGCCTAAATGTGTGAGTTTGTTCTGTATTTTAATGTACAGTATTTAAAAATATTTTTATATCTATGTTTTTAAAAAATTAATATTCTTTTTCTATCTTCACTTTTGCAACCACATACAGAATTCATTTGCAAGCATGACTCCCATAAGCTTGTCTGGTTGGGAATGAGTTAAAATGTTAGCTAAAGATCAACTAACTGGTCTGGATTGACAGAGTCAAAAGGCCAGATGGCTCCAGAAGTGAAGCTGATTTCCCCTTTGAAAACTTATGTGAGGAGACTTTATAGTCTCAGAAATCCTAAGAAAGTGGTAAAACAAACACAAGAACTGTTTTTCTAAGGTAAGGGAAAGGCTTTGAACATCCCTTACAAAATTGTATGCTAATTCCCTGAAGACACACGGCAAAATGTCCTCCTTTCTGAAGCACTGTCACTCTTATTACATTTTTAAAGGGAACCTTTTCTCTCTCTCTTTAAAGAAAACCTATCTTTTCAGTCTGTTTCTATGACCTTTCTCTCCAAATATGTTCCTCCCTCCCACCTATGAATGTATATGATGTTTCATTTTCTGAAGCTCCTGCTGGCAAGCCTGAAGCACACATACTCAGTCTTAAAACAAAGTGGCTGTGCTTCCCCTTTGATAGGCTTTTTTGAGGGTTTATATTAGCCCCTGCAGCCTGGATTCTTTCCAAATTAAATACGGGTGAATGGGTCCAATCATTGTCTTTCAAGATAAGCAAGATTGATATTTTCAATGTAGTGGTGCCTCGTATAACGAGCGCCCCGTTTAACGACGAATCCGCATAGCAATGTGGATTTTGCAATTGCAAAAGCGATCGCATTGCGATGTTTCCTATGGGGTTTTCCCCATAGGCCCCATTTCCCCCCAGCTGACCGGCAGTCACTTCGGAGCGACCGTGGTGGAGGCTTCCCTAGCGGTCGCTCCGAAGACAGCGCCGCCCAGCTGGGGGGAAAAACGCTTTGGAGTGCCTGCAGTGGAGGCTTCCCCGGCGATTGCTCCGAAGCCTTCTCCCCCCAGCGGGCCGCACTGCCTTCGGAGCGACTGAGCTGGAGGCTTCCCTGGCGGTCGCTTTGAAGGCAGCGCCATCCAACTGGGGGGAGAAGGCTTCAGAGCGATCGCTGTGGAGGCTTCCCCGGCGGTCGCTCCGAAGGCAGCGCTGCCCAGCTGGGAGGAGAAGGCTTGGAGCGACCGCGGTGGAGGCTTCCCCAGCGGTTGCTCAGAAGCCTGCTTGGCCCAGCTGGGGGAAAATGGCTGCCCGCAGTATGATGTTTCATTTTCTGAAGCTCCTGCTGGCAAGCCTGAAGCACACATACTCAGTCTTAAAACAAAGTGGCTGTGCTTCCCCTTTGAAAGGCTTTTTTGAGGGTTTATATTTCAGCCCTTGCAGCCTGGATTATTTCCAAATTAAATATGGGTGAATGGATCCAATCATTCTCTTTCAAGATAAGCAAGATTGGTATTTTCAATGTATATGATCTGTGTTAAATCTGGGGTTGTTTCGGGTCACTTTTTTCTGCTTTGGTGGGAGGGGGACAGTTTTACTTTAAAAAAAAGCAGAACCTGGAAACCCTTTCTCCAAATTCCCCCAAATTTAGCATAGAGCAAGAGCCCACTGTCTGCTACAACTGTGGCAAATCTGGTACTGATCCAGTTTCAAAGTTGTAATTTTTGTTTGGGCCACCTCTATTTTTAGGATTGCTTTGTAGAATGTTGATGTGCTCTGCCACACAATATCATAGCGGCACTCTCATGCAGCTATAATAATTGTCTAGGGCAGAGAGGGGCAACATATATCCTTCATGGTACATGTGCCTGCACGTAGCCATTTTTGTAATCATCACCTCCTTCGCGTGCTGCCGCCACCCAAATTCAGGACCACAGTAAAAACTTCACCGTCTTTGA